CATGTGTGCATGGATTACGTAGGACATAAGGCCCTGGAATGACTAAACATCTTGCCTGGCTACTGGACAGCGCATGTGCAGTCATGTAGCTGGGGGAGTGGCCAGGAATTCCATCAGGGCCCACTCACAATTCGTTCTGGAAAAGCGGCCAACAGAGGCGAGGTTGAGGCACCTTCCTTCCGGTGTTGGTTTTCAGCACTGAGTTAGCCGAGGCCGCCTCTGCGGCTCATGTGCTCATGATCCCCCTGTCCACTTACCACAGCCACTCGGCGGTCATGGGTGCCGAGAACCAAGTGAGCTCCGGCACCCCTCCTGCAGGTCCAGGAGCCGTGTGTCCCCGACAAGCTGATCTGGTCTGAGAGAGGGACCCTTAGCCAACTCGTGCAGGAAATGGGCACAGGGGACAGCAGCAGGTTGCCAAGTGCTGTGCCGGGAGTCCCACAGATGCTCCACCAAAAGGAAGGAGAGTGACTGAAGGGATGGCCTGGCACGGGGAACAGGAGGCCACCAGACAATGTCGGGGACACTAGAAGAAACTGCACTCATGAAGGCTTCTCATTCTCTCAGACGCCACAAGACAGGGTGGCTTCCACACCACTCATCTATCTCCCGCGATCCTGGAGTCGGCAGGTTCTGGTCAAAGTGCCAACAGGTCCAGCATCTGGTGAGGCCCCTTCTTGGCTGGCAGATGGCTATCTTTCCGCTGTAAGCTTGTATGCAGGAAGGGAGGGCTTCCCTGAAGCCTCTGGTAGGGCTGCCGAGTCACTCAGAGGGCTCGACTCTCATGATCCGATCATACTGTCATCCACCGTGGGGGTGAAGGCTCCCTGAATGAATTCCGAGGACTTATTGTGTGAATTTTAGTGAGCACTGATAGGAGGGTGAGCCAAAAGGAAGAGCCTTTGGTATAGGTGGAGGAGACTGGATGTCGGCTTCTGTTCATGAGTGTGTGAATCCGCATGAACAGCTAGAAGTTTGAGAGTGCTTGCCCTTTTTCTCTCAAGTGTTCGAGCTAGAACCCAGGCCTTCACGCACACTGTGTAAGCACTCTTCCATGGAGCTAGCCGCGGAGTCTAAGCTCTTATTTTAGAATTAGTAATAAAGAGATTAGCAAGACGGCTCCGTGGGGGAAAGCACTTGTTGCACAAGGCCTATGACCTGGGTTCTCTCCTCAGATCCATGAAAATGTCAGGCACAATAGTGCACATCTCTAAACACCAGCGCTCTCACGGTGAGATAAGAGGCAGAGGCAGGAGAGTCCCCTGCCCCAGGCCCAGCCCTTCCTTCAGTCCTTTGACCACTGAATGGGCTGGCCATGTAAAGGTGCTCACGGTCAACCCTGATGACCTGAGTCTGGTCCCCCAAGCCCAGGGGTAGGAGAGAACCTACTACGTTGGGTTGTCCTCTGACCCTCTTGGCTTGGTGCCTACACACACATACACACACACACACACACACACACACACACACACACACACACACACACACTACTAATTTTTTTTTTCTCAATGATGAGTGAAGAGATGCCCTGACCTGGAGTCCACCTGCTCTCAGGGAACTGAGAGTTAGCTAGAGAGACAGACATGGGTAAACTTGGATGGGATTTGGTTCAACAACTGAGGATGACAGTGAAATCTAGGAGGGAGTACATCCGCACACCTGGTGGAATGATTAAAATCGCGGACACTGACAAAAGTCAGATGCTGCTGAGTGTGTGGAAGAACAGAATGCCCACCTACTGCTTGCGGGAATACAGAATGCCACAGCCACTTTGAAAGACAGTCTGGAAGTTTCGTACCAGAGTGAACAAACTCTTACCACATGGTCCAGCAATCATCTCTTTAGTGTTATTTACTCCGAGAATGTTCGTCTTAAAACAAAAGTTCACCCAAAAGACCCAGGTACATCTTTATAGCCGCTTCATTGATAGTTGCCAAAACTCACAAGCATCCGGTATAGTCTCAGTAGGTGAACCATAAACTGTGGTACATACAATTGGTGAAATAATGTTTGGCCCTAAAGAGGAAAGAGCTGTGAACCCATGAGAAGACAAAAGGAAAGCTTAACTGTTTACAAATATGTACATAATTGTAACCTGTGTAACTGCCCTGATGGAGGATGCTGATGGGGAGTGGGGTCTCTGTGGGAGCTGGGGTATGTGAGAACTCTGTACTTTCCATTCAGTTTTCCTAGAAACCTGAAACTGCTCTAAAAGAGAAAATCTCTCTTACAGAGCTAGGAAGCAGGCGTGGGATACTCAGAGAAGATAAGGTTTATGTAAGTGATAAAGGAGACAATGGGAAGCAGGCTTTGAAGACAGGGTGGAACTGGCCTGGCAAGAAACGGAGAGAAGCTCAGCCTTGGGAAACGGTAGCGGGCCTGCTGGAAGACTCATTTTCAAACACGAATTCTTCCAACTGGGTTCATAGATTAGGGAAGACTCTGAGCAGAATACAGATTGGTTTTGGCTTCTGCTTGATTTTGCCTGGAGAAGCACTGAGTGGAGGGAGAAAACCACACCCAGGTGAGCCAGGCCGTGAGGAAGCTGCAGATGAGCCTGCCCACCCATCCACGGTCACCTGGCCACCCATCCACGGTCACCTGGCTACCCATCCACGTTCACTGGTGGCCATCTAAGCCCAGGCCTCATGTGCTGGAGACACAATTCAGAGGTGGGACTTGCAAGATAAGAACATCCTTTCCTTCCCCAAGTTGCTTTTGGTCATGGTGTTTATCTCAGCAACAGAAAGCAAACCAGGTCCTTCCTCCCTTCCTCCCTCCCTCCCTCCCTCCCTCCCTCTCTCCCTTCCTTCCTTCCTTCCTTCCTTCCTTCCTTCCTTCCTTCCTTCCTTCCTTTCTTCCTTCCTTCCTTCCTTCCTTCCTTCCTTTCTTCTTTCATTCCTTCCTCCCTGTTTCTTGAAATGGGGTCTTGCTATGTAACCTGGGCTGGTCTTGAATCCATACACTTCCTGTTTCTGCCTCCCAGAGGCAATGGCCACAGCATGCCCAGCTTACCAAGAGTGGTTTTAAGTGTTGTATTTATATCTCCATTTCCTATGCAAGCCTTAGAGTTTTAATTGTGTGATTTTTGTATAACATGGCAATTTTTAAGTGCATGCATTGAGTTGCAGCTGAACTCACCACACAGATTTTAAAGTAAAAATAATGCTCAGAGAAGTGTGAGTAAATGGTTGGGATCATCACTGATATGTGGAGAACTTTCAGACACAGGCTGGAATCCAGTGCATTTACTCAGCAATCACCTGACCAGTGTTTTCTCTCTGAGTGTCTGCTGTACACCTAAATGTTCTAAGCCCTGGGGACCTGGCAGTGGAAAAAAGAGACAAAAATCCAAACCCGGAGCTTGTGTCCTCCTTGGGGAGACAGACCAAAACAAGATAAATCATTAAAATATATGTTGTGTTAGATAGTAATCAATGCTAAGAAGGAAAACACAAAGCTGAGGAGCTGTTGTGCCTGTCAGGGAAGAGGCTTGGAGAAGACTCCTCATTAGTTAGTACTGGATAACAAATGGTCCTAAAACTTCATGGCTGGAGGCAGCTCCCATTTATGGGCTCACAGAGTTTGTGTTGGCAGCAGGACATGTTAGGACATGTTAAGTTTGAAATGTCTGTGAGATATCCAAGTGGTAACACTAAGCAAACAGTGTGTGTGTGTGTGTGTGTGTGTGTGTGTGTGTGTGTGTGTGTGTGTGTGTGTGTGTGTGTGTGTGTTGGAGACTAACCAAGGCCTTGTGCATGCTAGGACTGACTCCTAGAGAAAGGATGCAAATTATGTTAGTCTGATGCTTATAAAGGTGAAACCCACAAGGCTGCATACTTCCCACCTTCGTCCAATAGGGGACAAGCATACATCCTGATGTACCTCCTGCCCACATACCTCCTGCCTACTTGTGATCAAGCACATCCTGTGCAGTTGAGGCAACCAACCTTGTTTGCAGAAGTGAAAACACATGGCTTGTTATCTTACAGGAACAGCTCCCAGCATTCTAGGATGTTATCTGTCATTGGGCAAGTAGGGCTTACAGGTTAGAGGCATTTTTTTATAGCTCTCTTAAGCACAGTAATTAAAACTTAAAACATAACTTTACCCCTCACAAAAGTATTCTACCATGGAGATACACTCCCCTGAATAAACAATTGGATCATCGAGGCTGGGGTTCTGGAAGGAGGTTCAGATTAGATACACAAATGTGAGAATTATCCAGTATAGATAACATTTAGTATATGTGATTGGATAAAATCACCTAAGAAGTGGGTACAGATTCAAAATGAGATGATATTTGGGCTGGCAAGACAGCTCAGTGACAGTGCAAACCTGACCCCCTGAGTTTGATCCTCAGAACCCACCAGTGAAGGAGAAAACTAACTCCTGAAAGTTGTTCCCTGACCACACACACACACACACACACACACACACACACACACACACTCGCAAATAATAAATTTACAAAAATAGATGCTACACAAGACCTGGCCCTGGGATTTTCCCAGAATCTAGAGAAACAACCCAAGAAAGGATAAACAAAGAAGAGCAAGAGTGGCCAGAGGCTCTTAGTAGTCACTTTTACTAAGAACCATCAGCTCCTCACTTGGACCCACAAGTAACTAAGAGCAGGAACCTCACATCCGTGTCTTCATTTTGCATCTCTCTGATCCCTTCACTTTGACTGAAGACACAAGTCTTTGGCCTTTCCTATGTCATCTTGGATTCCAGGAGCAACAAAACCTGGCAGGACAGAGCACACCCTCTCACCCTTACTACAGAGGGTAATTGTAGTGATTTGAATAGATATGGGCCCCAAAGACTCATGTCTTTGAATACTTGGTCATAGGGAATGGCACTATTAGGAGGTGTGACCTTGCTGGAGGAAGTATATCACTGTGGGTACAGGCTTTGAGGTCTCCTATGATCAAGCTATGCTCGGTGTGGCACACAGTCTCTTTCTACTCCCTGCAGATCAAGATGAAGAACTCTCAGCTCCTTCTCCAGCACCACGTCTGCCTGCACGCCGCCACAATGATAGTGGACTAAACCTCTGAAACTGTAAGCCAGCCCCAATGAAATGTTTTCCTTATAAGAGTTGCAGTGGTCATGATGGCTCTTCACAGCAGTAGACACCCCAACTAAGGCAGTCACTATCCATGAGGATGAGGCTCCACCCCAGAGCAAAACAAATCACATCCTAAGAACCAACTTGTTCTCTCATGCCTCTTTTGGACCATCTTAGAGTACCACAACTGAGACAATGATCAAGAAGACCACACCTTGACAGGACAGCGTCATCATGCATACCTTTGGTCCCTTACCCCAGTTCTTCCTTTATTTAAATCTAAAGCTCAAGTAGCCACATTGAACAACTCCCCGCCCTGCTTTCACCATTACTCACCTCCTTAACCAATGTATTAGGAGCAGGTGGCTGGACCTAGCCTGTTCAGACTGCCCTAAAATCTCGGTTTACAGCAGGAGTCAAACCAGGTGAGGGTAATGTCCTATCAGCCAAGTGGAGAAGTCTTTCAAGGAAGACTTGAGGAGATCTTCACCTCTGCCAGGGCTGCTGGAGGAAAAGGAGCCAGAACCTGCATGGAGGGAGCGTTCACCACCATGACAGAGCCCGTGACAGTGGGTGGATAACAGGCTAAAATCAGGTTGGAGGCTGCAGATTCTTTTAAATAATTATATGAGAAAGAAAGAAGAAAATAGGGTTTGTAATTGAAGAGAAAAGTAGAGTTCAGAGACTCTGTAGCCCAGGCTGTCCTCACACTCATGCATAGAGTTCAGAGACTCTGTAGCCCAGGCTGTCCTCACACTCGTGAATGGAGTGCAGAGACTCTGTAGCCCAGGCTATCCTCACACTTGTGAATAGAGTTCAGAGACTCTGTAGCCCAGGCTGTCCTCACACTCAAGAATAGAGTTCAGAGACTCTGTAGCCCATGCTATCCTCACACTCAAGAATAGAATTCAGAGACTCTGTAGCCCAGGCTGTCCTCACACTCATGAGCTTCCTGTTTCAGGGGCTACAGACCTTTTTTAAAGGTATGAGACAGAACAGTAGATTATGTGCTGAATATACGATAAAGGGAAATAATGAAGCAAGAGACAGAGGGTGGGCTTGCTGTGTGAAATCTGGTGGATGAAGGAAGGGTGGGCCTTCTGTCAGGGAGAGGGTGCCCTCCTTAAGGAACACGGGGGCAGGGGAGGCAGTGTTCAGTATGGATGCGGTCATCTCAGAGTGAGGAGGACGGAAGAGTGCTGAGGCTTTGAGGCAAGGAGAAGAGAAGGCACTGTGGAGAGAGGGGGAGAGCAAGTGCCATGGCCATGCACCAGTGACGGGTCCCAGGAGCAGCCAGGCCTGTGCCATGGCCATGGACCAGTGACGGGTCCCAGGAGCAGCCAGGCCTGTGCCATGGCCATGGACCAGTGACGGGTCCCGGGAGCAGCCAGGCCTGTGCCATGGCCGTGCACCAGTGACGGGTTCCGGGAGTAGCCAGACCTGTGCCATGGCCATGCACCAGTGACGGGTCCCAGGAGCAGCCAGGCCTGGCATACTCAGCTGACCAGAGCAGATGCAGAGACATGGGTGTGGGCAAAGCATGGGTTTGGCCAGGTGAGTGTAGCTGTAAAAGGCTAGGCTCTTCTTCCTCATGCTCACAGCTCTGAGGACCACTGCGGGTGGTTGGCGCAGCCCTAGTGGATGCCTGTTCTTCAATAGTGATTATTAATAATGCCCCCTTCTCTCTCAAATATCTGTCTCTTTTTCTCTCTCTGAAATAGGTCTCATGTAGACCAGATTAGCATCCAACTTGCTACATATCCAAAACTGGCTTTGAACTCCAAATCCTGCCTTCACCTCCAAGTACTAGGATTACAATTGTATGCCACCAAGCCCAGCTCTCAAATCTGTATTCATTTGGATAATAAATGAAATGTCCTTTCACTGACATAAAGCCAACATGGAGTCACTGAAGTTTCTAGAGAGAATTCATCAATGTCTGTCTGGCTTGTTTATGCATTTGTTTGTTTGTGTGTGTGTGTGTGTGTGTGTGTGTGTGTGTGTGTGTGTGTGTGTGTGTGTTGTGCATACACACGTGTGTAGAGTATGTGCATGGAGGCCTAGAAGGGTGTCAGGTGTCTTCTATCTGTGCTTTGGTACTTGGAGGCAGGGTCTCCTGTTGAAGCTGGGTGCAGCTCATGTTTTTCAGCTAGGCTGGCAGCCAGTAAGCCGCAGTGATCCCTTTCACGCCCCACTCTCACCTCCAGTACTGGACGTACAAGTGTACGTGGGGCCACCCCAGTTTTTACATGGGTGCTGGGCTCTAAACTCCAGTCCCCATGCTCATACAGCAAGTACTCTTAACCACTGGGCCCCCCGTCCAGCCCTTTGTCTGAATTTCAGCTGTAAGGCTGTGAGCTCATTGAGGTCAGTGATCATGGTTCAGCTCTCAGCCTCGAGCATCCAGCAACTGCCTTTGTAGGGGCCAAGTGACACACTTCAGGTTGTCACAGAACCTCACCAGGTCACCTCTCTGCTTAGGCTCTTTTGGGGTTGCTCAGTGCACAGCAACCTCAGGAAAGTCTGTGTGCTTATTAGGGCAGGATGATTCATGAATACAGGGCTGGTAGAGTTTCAGAATTCCCACAGCTTTGCTCTGTCACACATATGCCTAGTTGAAGAGGATCTGGAAGTCACCTCTCAACAAGAGGAGGGACCAAGTCACTTTATCAGAAGGCTTTTCCATGCTAGAATTGGAACCACAACTCCCACCCTCCTTATAACAAGATCACACGACATATTGTTTTGTTCCTTTGGGGAAAATGCACTTCTGACCCCAAGTTTGGATTCTCTTTCCTTGCTTCCAAAGATTTTAGATGAAACACTCAAAGAACAGTCATTTCTTGTTAACTTTAACCATACTTCGGTTGAGGGTCCTTCTGCAAATGGAGCTTCTTATCAAGCTCGTCTCCCTGAGGTGTGGGTCCATGTGTAAAGGGCTGATGCTGTGGGATATCTTTCTATATGCTGTGAATATGTGTTGCTCTGATTGGTTGATAAATAAAGCTACACTGGCCTATGGCAGGGCAGGATGAAGCCAGGCGGGAAAATCCAAGAGAGATAGGAGAGAAGAAAGGAGAGGGGGGCAGATGTTGCTCGCCACCGCCAGGAGAAGCAAGATGTAAAAGTACCAGTAAGCCACAAGCCACGTGACAAAAGTATAGGTTTATAGAAATGAGTTAATTTAAGATGTAAGAGCTAGTAGTGAGAAGCCTGAGCCATTAGGCCACATAGTTTGAAAATAATATAAGCCTCTGTGTGTTTATTTGGGACCAAGCGGCTGCAGGACATGGGTGGGGGAGATTTGTCCTGAACACAGGGCCTGGGTAGGACACAGGAAAACTTCTGGCTACAGGCTGACAATGATCCAGGAAGTGGAGGATGGAGGCTGCAGAGTGTGCATCCTCGGAGAGAAACTGCAGTCCACTGGCACAGACAGCTCGATTCATTTCCAAACCATTATCAGGATGTGGTCATGGATCAAACTGGTTCTATGATTGTGTAACAACATCCCACGAGTTTAGTGCCTTACACAACACAAAGTTATCTACAGTTTCTTTTTTTTTTCTTTTTTTTTAAATTTTATGTACATTGGTGTTTTGCCTTCATGTATATCTATATGAGGGTGTCAAAGGATCCCCTGGAACAGGAGCTACAGACAGTTGTGAGCTGCCATGTGGGTGCTGGGAATTGAACCCGGGTCCTCTGGAAGAGCAGCAGTGCTCTTAACCACTGAGCCATCTCTCTAGCTCCTCATCTATAGTTTCTATGATCAGAATGATCAGGAATCTTGCTCCTGGTTCCACCAGATGGAAATCTAAGTGCTATCTGGTTTCCTCGGGAGGGACTGGTCCCTTGCAAGCTCCCCCTCCCCGCTCCACATTGGTAGGATTCCTTTCCTTTCACTTTTGGCCTGGAGGGCAGCTCCGGGATACAGGGGATGCTCAGTCAGTGTGAGGCCCTAGGTTCCATCCTGGACATCCATATCCATTCCCCAGTCAGAAGGAGAAGACTGTGGGGCTCATATCAACCAAGTTCAAAGGCTTTAGGTTGTTGTTTGTTTGTTTTTTATCTAAAAAGGGAATGTGGTGCCCATAAAGGAAGCTAGGTCTCTGGTGGCTAGTAAGTTGTGTTTGAATGAGAATGGCCCCCATAGGCTTGTATATTTGGATGCCGAATCACCAGCGAGTGGAACTCTGATAGGATTAGAAGGATTAGGAGGTGTGGCCTTGTTGGAGGAAGTGTGTCACTGGGAGTGGGAGTTGAAGTTTTCAAAAGCCCATACCTGGTCTGCCAAGATGATAATGGACTAAACCTCTGAAACTGTAAGCAAGTCCCCAATTAAATGCTTTCTTTTATAAGAGTTGCCTTGGTCATGGTGTCTCTTCACAGCAATAGAACACTGACTGAGACATATGTCAATCAGCAGGAATCTGTGAGAGCTCTGGCAACCTTCCTCAAAAAGTCCAAGAAGCAGGGGACTGGAGAGATGGCTCAATGGTTAAGAGTACTTGCTGCTTTTTGCAGAGGATCTGAGTTTGGTTCTTAGTACTCACATCAGACAGCTAACATCTGTCTTCAGGGACATGATATCAGAACCTGCCACTTCAGTTGAGGCTCTAAGAGTGTGGCCTGCCAGATCCTTCCAGCCCTTAAGGAGTTGAAATGGTAGAAGAAGACCAAGATGGGAGCCACAAGCTGACATCTCGGGGACAGAGAGACCTGGACAGAGTCACCTGACAGTCGGCAGTTGCCAACAAGAAGCATTAGAACAAAGGATTCCAGGTTAATACACTGCCTCATTCAGAAACCAATAAAACAATAAAGGTGAATACTAGAATAGACAGGGAGCAGAATTAGGGCCTCCTCAGCTCAAGGGGCACATGTGTTGCGTGCAGGGTGGGGGTGGGGATCTGTGGGGGGGGGGGGGAGGGGGTCTGCTCAGCACAATTGCATGGTGTGGTTTTTTTGTTTTGTTTTGTTTTTTTTTTTTTGCGTGGTTTTGTTTTAAACAACAAACCTCATTATGCATCCCTGGCTAATTTAGAACTTGCTATATAGGTGAGGTTGGCCTCTGGCCTGCTGCAGCCCTCCTCACGTTCCCATCCCAGGTGCTGGGATTATGGATGTGCACCGCTATGCTGGTTTACAATTGCGTGTTAGGACTGCAGTTAGAAGGGCTGGGGTACATCTCAGTGGACGAGCACTTACCTAGCATGTGGGGGGGGGCCTGGGTTCCATCCTTAGTGTGTCTAAGGTTGGTATTTACTAAAGTTAAAACTGAGGCTGAGGAGGCAGAGCAGAGGCAGACTGCCTGCCTAACATGAACAATACCTGGGTTGCATTCCCAGCACTGTAAAAATAAAATAGTATAACATTAAATTGAATTAAAATTTTGAAATCAATAAAAAAAACTTTAATAAGATGACATAAAAAGAGGGCGACCATAAAGTTGAAAGTGAGAAGGAAAAACAAAGTATGATTGACAGAGAACAAAAACATGTAAGCGATACAAGAGAATTAAACAAGAACTCACTGTGGTGCACTAAAAACAACTAAACTTTGTTGAATCAGTTCAAGTTGAAGCAAGTATTTAAAGGCCCACATAACTCATAAGAACATAAATAATAGCAGTAAATACAATGTAAGAAACGGGGAAGCAACAGCTGGTCATGAGGCTGGTCTTGGGGACACACCTTCCATTTCAGCACTCAGGAGGAAGAGACAGGCAGATCTCTGTGACTCTCAGGGCCACAAAGTGAGGTCTTATCTACAGAAAAGAAAAAGATCTGAGATAAGGGTAATAGTAATGGTGTTTACATCTGAAGTAACGACAAACTGAAAGCTTTGTAATGTCAGGCTAAGTCAACTAGAGACGTTGAATCTGCCCAGACTCAAAATCCAGCATGCCTCCATGAGTGTCCTCAGACAGGGTCCCTGTCCAAACTGAGGCACATGGAAAGCTATTCAAGTGACTCTTTTCTCCTTCTCTAAAGATGCTACATAACAAGTACCATTTAACCAGAAAAGGAGTCATGTTACTGTACACTGGATGCCCACAGCGGCTGGGATCACTCCTCTTACCAAACTGGCTGATCTATGTCAAAATGCAGAGCAGGGCTGAGAAATCGCTTGCTACCTCACAGCTCTGGCTTTGAGAGACTTGTATCTCACGGTCCTGGGTACCTTCTAGGTGAGAGATGGAAACAGAAGCCAGAGTCTTGGGTTACAGCCCCCTTAAGAGCTGCTCCGTCAGACGACAGAGCATAAACCAGTCCCAATGGCTGACTGAGAATCACAAAGCCACAGAGAACAGAACACTTGTAAACTGGTATCTTTTGAGAGAGAGAGAGAGAGAGAGAGAGAGAGAGAGAGAGAGAGAGAGAGAGAGAGAGCAGGGAGGGAGGGAAGGAGGAAGGAAGGGAGGGAGGAAGGAAGGGAGGGAGGGAGGGAGGGAGAGAGGGAGGGAAGGAGAGAGGGAGGGAGGGAGGGAGGGAGGGAGGAAGGAAGGAAGGAAGGAAGGAAGGAAGGAAGGAAGGAAGGAAGGAAAGAGGTCCTTCCAAACTCCTAGTTCAATGACCAACACTGCTGTTCTCTGAAGCTGACAAGTGATAGCTTAGGGTAGTCCCCAGTCTCAAGTCCCTGCCCTCACAGTAGTGCCTAAGTGAAGAGCAAATGACCTGAGGGCTACACACGGTTGCTTTCTGCAAAAGCTGAGTTAGATTTAGGAACAATCCAGCAGGAGACAAGACAGAAGACAGCACCCAAACATCCAAGGAACAGAGAGAAGAAAATGACCCACGGAAGGATGCTCAGAGGCAAAACGGAGGCAGGAGAACAGAGGAGCTGTTAAACATTGCTGTCACATGTGGGCAGTTTCGAAGTCAGTCCGCAGACGT